TTCCAGGGTTCCAGAGGAAGAATGACAAATGGGTCAAAACTTTACTCAAAGAAATAATAACAGAAAATCCCTCAAACCTAGAGAAGGATACAAAAATCCAGGAATAGGAAGGTCAAAGTTTACCAGTTAAATTCAATTGAATTTATTTAGGAAGATAATTCAGTTTATTTAGGAATTTTATCAAGTTTATTCACGAACCTAAGCAAGCTCTCAAATGTTGAAGATAGCGAATTATCATAGCAGCAAGAGATAAGAAAAAGTACATAAGGTTGTCCATTTCACTGGAGAGCAGACTTATATGTGGAATCTAAAAAAGCTATCATACGGAAATTTACTAATTTTGGTACCAGGGGTTGAGCCCAGGGGCACTGAACCACCTATCCAGGTCTTTTATTATATTTTATTTAAACATGGAGTCTCACTGAGTTGCTTAGGACCTCACTAAATTGCTGATCCTCCTGCCTCAACCTCCCAAGCTGCTAGAATTACAGTTATGCACCACTGCATCCAGCAGCAGAAGTTTAGAGTAAAATAGTGGTTTCCAGAGGTTTGGAATTATGAGGGAGGTGGGAAAGTTGGGGAAAGTTTAATTAATGAGTGCTAAGTTACAGTTAGGAGCAAGAAGTTCTCCTATGTTAGTGCACAGTAGGGTGACTAGGTATAATAACATACTGTGCATGTCAAAAGCTAAAGAAAGGATTTTAAAGGTTTCTTCATAAAATGATAAAAGTTTAAGAAAATCGATTTATTTAACCTTATTTGAGCATTACACAATGTATACATGTATCAAAACATTATAAGGCACCCTATTAATATGCACAATTTTTATAAACAGCCTTGTATACTACCGTCAATAAACGACAGAGACTGGTTTTGCTAGCTGTTTTGGAAATTTAGAGAGGACCTTTTAGAAAGATATGAGATATGTAGACAGATAGAAGCCTAACGTCTGAGTATTAAATCTGCCTAAATCCCAGGCTTGCCACAAAATTATTTAAGCATGGGCTATGCTAAAGAAGGAGATGTATGCACAGATGGTTGGATTTTGTACAGCAAGATTTTTTAGTTTGCTGCTACTTTCACTGAGGGAATTATTAAACACAGACATCAAGGTGCAGGAAGATGAAACAGTGATGAATTGAAGGATCAGAGAACAGAGCTTGGGAACAGATGATCCTGAGGAAATTTAGTGGATACCTACATGTAAGAGAGCTGCAAACAAGAATTTTGAGTACAAAATTCAATCATAGAGGAGTCTCT